AATTATTCAGGTCATGCCTGTTCAGTTGATAACAGATCAGACCCTTCAAGCCATTCACATGTTACCAAGAGATAACACTCCTCCCCCATCTCCCAAAAGGTATGTACTATTTGAATATATTGGTTTTATATACACACACACACATATATATATATATATATATTAAAGCTCTGGAACTAGAACCTTTTATTCTTCGAAACTTGTACCGTGATGGTTTTTTTCATATAACTTTTGTTCGAGCTCCAAGAAAATGGGCTGTAACTTGTGAGGCTACTAATTTAAAAAATATATTTATTAAATATATTTTTTATTAAATATAGATTGGAAGGAAAAATTGCTATCGTGACAGGCGGTGCCAGAGGGATCGGTGAAGCCACCGTCAGATTATTCGCCAGACACGGAGCCAAAGTCCTGATCGGCGACATTGACGCTGCTTCAGGAACCGCCCTAGCCAACTCACTTTCCCCTTCCGTCACCTTCGTCCGCTGTGACGTCAGCTCAGAACCAGACGTCGAAAACCTAATCAACACCGCCATCTCTCGTTACGGCCGCCTCGACATTCTATTCAACAACGCCGGAGTACTCGGAAACCAGTCAACTCACCGGAAGACCATTCTCAACTTCGACGCCGACGAGTTCGACCGCGTGATGCGCGTGAACGTCAAGGGTGTAGCGTTAGGAATCAAGCACGCGGCTCGAGCCATGATTCCGAGAGGTGGTGGGTGTATAATCTCGACGGCGAGCGTAGCAGGAGTAATGGGTGGTCTGGGTCCGCACGCTTACACGGCGTCAAAGCACGCCATTGTTGGGATTACGAAGAACACGGCGTGCGAGCTGGGACGGTACGGGATTAGGGTAAACTGTATTTCACCATTTGGGGTGGCGACGTCGATGCTGGTAAATGCGTGGAGGAGAGAAGGGGGTAAAGATGATGATGATGAATGCTGGATGCCATGCGAGGAAGAGGTGGAGAAAATGGAGGAGTTTGTGAGGGGACTTGGGAATTTGAAAGGAGCAACTTTAAGGGCTAAAGATATTGCAGAAGCGGCTCTTTATCTTGCTAGTGATGAATCGAAATACGTAAGTGGTCACAATCTTGTTGTGGATGGTGGGGTTACTACTTCAAGAAATTGTGTTGGATTGTAACTTATTTTGTGTTACTATCTCACTTAATTTTTAATCAACTAATTCTATATAATTCAATTATAAAAAAAAAAAAAAAAGTAATTTAAAATTTGAAAGTTTAGTTATAATTAAAATCAGAATAAAGTAAATATTTTTTAATAATCTAGATTGGGTGTTATTTATATTGATAATATGTAGTAGTTTTTATTTTATTTGACTGGCTACTAGTAGAAGAAATTAAATGTAAGTCTTCAAGTTTTTTGGCTCATTCCAATTTGAACTTTTTGGTCTCATTTGTCTTAAGAACATGGAATGGAATAGTAATAAGTCCAAATTGGGATAGAGCCAAAATTACTTTCTTCGTATATTTGCACTAATTAGGCTTCTTCTTGAATTATTCGTTATTTATTTTGCCATTTATACTGTGGGAGTTTTATTTGTGAAATTTAATCTAATGCTTTAAAAAACTAGATTGAACAAATAATCAACTCTCTCCTAAGCCATCTTGAAGGGTATGTCTGCCTAACAGGTTTTTTTTAATAAAAAAAAAAAAAAAAGGGTGCTTTTTCTTTTCTTTTTTTTTTTTTTATAAAGTAAAATTAATGTTGAATATTTGTAGGTCAGCTGGTCCGCAGACATTCCTTCTTCCCAAACAGTGCTCAAGAATAATGGGCTTCCATCAGAATGAGATTGAGTTGGACCTAAACTGGGTTTGGCCTAAAATCTTAATAATGATTAGTGATTTTGATTCCAACAGCATGTGGAAACCCCTTCCAATCCCTTTTTTCCTTTCTCTTCCCTATTTTCTTCTCCTTCGAAAATCCTCCCCCTTTTTTTTTCTCTCTCTAAAAAACGCTTAGCCTCTCTCTGAAACTTGTTTTCCTCTCTCCCCAAAAACATTCCGCCTCCTCTCCCTCTTGGTTTCGACTCCATTTATAGCTGAAACCATCACCAAATTCACCCGACTTGGTGGCTCCCCTCCGTTCGCGCTGTTCTTCGTCTTCTTTTCTTCTTCGTCGCCACGCTCTGGTCTCTAATCATGTCACTCCCTTTTCCTTTTTCTTCACGTTATCATCTTCCTGCGTCTCCGTGTTCCTGCTTTATTGTTGGGTCTTGTCGAATCATCAACCATCGTTCTTTCACCATCATTGCACTACCTGCTCAGTTCACTTGCTCCTCTGTTTTTCCTGCAAATGAGGAGGGGGACAAACAAACAAACAAACAAACAAAAAAAACCGCGCCACATCTCCTTTTCCCGCTCTGTCGAAGCAGGAGGGAGGGGGTTTTAACGCATCCCAAAACGGCAGCGTTTTGGAGAAAAGGGGCCTTGGGCTGGGTTTTAAATAAAGTCCAGCCCGAAGAAGAATACGAAGGAATTAGGGCTGGATTTTGTTTTTGGTTTTCTTGGGCTAAAGAGAAAATTTGAACAGAATTTAATCTTTGGGTAAACTGGAAATGGCTTAGGATGAACTTAAAATGGGCCTTGAGGTTTTAAACTTGGGGTTAAAACTAATTTAAAATTTTCTTTTGAAACTAGATTAGTTTGAATTTTAAATATTAATTAAAGTCCACGTCACCCAAAGTTTGTAATTAAGTCTCACATTTGGTTACTGAGTACCAGATTAAAACATCAAGCGTGGCCAATAATATGATCATTAGAATTTGACAGGAACACTAATAGTACAGAGCACAGAAACTTGTGCTTGAATTTTAGCAATATACAATTATTATTATTATTTTTTTCTTATCATTATTTCTTTAGAAAGACTCTTCAACTCTGCGCATAAACTAAATAAATAATATTTTTGTAACTGAAAATTATTCAATTCTGAACTTGACAAGTGAGTTCAATTTAGATATGCAATGAACTAATTGTGTCGTATGGATCATCAATCCACATCTTTCCTGAACAAAGACTTTCGATTTTGTTTCAATTCAATTTTAATCTGAGTCTTAATTTGAACCAATTAGTATTTTTTATCAAAATATATTAACAATTATAAATAATATATATTTTAAATTCATTGACAACAGGAACTTTGTAGGCATAAACGTTAATAAATTAAATTTTAATTTGATGGAAGTGATACCAGTCCCGTCTTCTGTTGAATTTCAGTTCTAATTCGGTTGTTCTTTTCACAAAAGACCTGAGCCCTGTCCCCCTTGCTGTGCCCCCAAAGTGATCTTGTGGCAGAACAACTTTTTATTCTATAGTTGGATGTAATAACCTTTTTAAAATTCATTAATTATTTTATATTATTATTATAACTAAATCCTAAGCATATTATAATTTATATTCCTAAAAAAAAAAAAAAAAGAATATTATAGTTTATCAGATAGGCAACAGTTGCCCAGGAGAACAGTACAATGACACGTGGCAAACTACGGCTACTCATACGATACAGAGCTTGCGCTGCTTTGGAGCCGCGTAAGCCACCGCCAGCCAGCCAGCCAGCCAGCCACCTTCTTTCTTTTCTTGTGTATCAATGTAGCCTTGGTCCAGTCAAAGCCACAAGGTTTGACCGGCAAGTAATTTTCCACGGTCAAACTTCTCTTTTAGCTTCTCAGAAGAAGCATGGAGAGGAGGGCATGAACAACAAATGCTCCCCCTAAAACATTTTCTCTTTAAATCTTCTGTCGTACGTTCTCTTCTTTTTTAATTCCTCACATGGCATCTTCTTCTTCTTCTTCTACAAATTCCCATGCAAGCTTCTCTTTAGCATCATCAACCGACACCCAATTCATGGCTTCTTCTTCTTCTCTTGTGCGCATGGACAATACGAACCAGAACACTAACCCTATTACATGGGGACTCTCTGTTTCTGACCAACTTACTGACAGAATTTCCGTTGAAATCCCAAAGTTCAAATCTCTTGCTCCTTCTTCCCTCCCTTTTTCTCCTCCCGCTGTTTCTCCTTCGTCGTTTTTGGCCACAACTCCTGCTTTTACCCATACTGATTTCTTGGACTCCCCTGTTCTCTTCTCTGCTTCTAATGTGAGTTTCTTCCCTACTGCTTTATGATTTGGATTTTTTTAGATGTTGTCTGTAATGGGTGTTTGCTATATTTGTGATATCAGCTGCTTGCTTCTCCTACAACCGGAGCTTTTGCTGGTCAAACTTTCAACTGGAGGAGCAATTCTGGAGACGATGACCAACAGACCATCAAGAGAGAAGATAATAGCTTTGGTGATTTCTCCTTCCAGACCCAACCAAAGCCTAATTCAACAACATCATCATCACCCATCTTTCAATCTTCTTCCAACGTTGTCTCTATGGTACGTTTCTCCAATCCCCTTCATGTATCATTTTAATTGTTTATATACTTCATCCGGTTTGTTCCTGGCCTTCGTTTGTCTCAATTCAGGAAGAATACATATGTGTGCGTGTGTGTGTGTGTATATATTTGTCTTTATTGTTTTGTTGGGATTGTTGAAAAATTCACAAAAGTTTGATACTGTCATGTAAAATATGAAACACTTTTGCTTTTATTTTTCTTTTGTTGTCTGTTTTCAGCCTAGTGTTGGTTGTTTTTATTAGTCTCCAAAAGTAGCACTCAACTACTCATAGTCAATATATTGACCCTTTGTTATTTTGCAACCTAACCTGGAAAAATATGTTCATGAACAGGAGGAATCAATTAAAAAACAAGAAGAGATATGGAATTTTGATAAATCCACAAAGCAGCAGCAGCATGATTTCTCGTTGGGGAAGACTGGAGCAAAATCAGATTTTGCTCCACTTGAGTGCTTCTCCACGGAGATCAATCCTTTCCAATCCAGCAATGCCGGTGCTCAGTCCAGTTTCAGCCAATACAATAGTCAACCATGTCAGTATGTGAGAGAGCAAAGGAGAGCAGAAGATGGGTATAACTGGAGAAAATATGGACAGAAACAAGTGAAAGGAAGTGAGAATCCTCGCAGTTACTATAAGTGTACTTTCCCAAATTGCCCAACAAAAAAGAAAGTTGAGAGATCTTTGGATGGTCAAATAACTGAAATAGTATATAAAGGAAGTCATAATCATCCTAAACCTCAAGCCAGAAGATCCTCCTCTCATTCAATATGCAATAACTCTGAAATTTCTGATCAGTCAGGCAGCTTGCTAGACACTCATCAGACTGATTCTTTCATGATACGCGACGATACTTCAGGTTCAATGGGGGAGGATGATTTGGAGCAAGGATCACCGATGAGTAACCTGGGAGGAGAGGACGATGACACAGAACCTGAGGCCAAAAGATGGTAAGCCCAGGATAGCTTTTGTTGATTTATGTAAGGTGGAGTTATGAAATTTCATGAACGAGTTTGATTATATAGTCTTTTCTCTTTTTCTAGGAAGGGAGATATGGAAAATGAGGGCATCATTGGCACTGGAAGCAGAACAGTGAGAGAGCCAAGAATTGTTGTTCAGACGACAAGTGATATTGACATACTTGATGATGGGTATAGATGGAGGAAGTACGGACAGAAAGTAGTTAAAGGAAATCCTAATCCAAGGTATTTAATTTACGTTTTATCGCTTTCTTGGCCAGCCTGCATGTTTAATTTTTTTAAAACTTAAGCATTATAAACTTACTTGTTTACCGTGATTTTGGACACTATCTACAGGAGCTATTATAAATGTACAACAGTAGGATGTCCAGTGAGGAAACATGTAGAGCGAGCGTCGCAAGACGTGAGAGCTGTGATCACCACTTATGAAGGGAAGCACAACCATGACGTTCCAGCTGCTCGTGGCAGCAGCTATACGTTGAACAGACCTTCGATAAATGGCAGCAACAGCAGCAGCATGGTGATGCCAATCAGGCCTTTTGTTGTTGCCACTCACTCAAACAACCACCTAAATTACCCCAACTCCCTTCAGAGTGCGAGGCCAGCAACTCAAGCACCAACCACGTTTGAAATTCTGCAGAATGCTGTAAATTTTGGATTTTCAGGATTTGGGAAGCCAGCAGGGTCATTCATGAATCAATCGCAACAATCAGCAGCGGTGTTCCCCAGGGCTAAGGAAGAACCCAGGGATGACGACTCCTTTCTCGATTCATTCCTATCCTGAAGCAAAAGTGGAAACATTGGAAGTCATCAAGCACATTTAGTGTATATCCCTTGACTGATATAAATTAAATTAGTTAAATTTTTTCATTGTTTTTAGGCTCTTCTGATCTTGGCAGACTTGGCCTCATGACATTCATCTTTGTGTTAGATTCTAAGGTTTACAGCTTAGGAATTGAATTTAGAGTTCAATAAAGATTTTCATAAAGTTGTAACATCATTATCTTCTGCATAGACTCTGCAATAGCTTTTCTCATATGCTTTCTCAAATTTTTGTCATTTTGTCTTGAAAATTCTGGATTTTATAGCATCATGGAAGCCATTAATTTTGGAGTTCAAGTAACCCCATAAAATTTAAAAACAAAGAAAAGGGTGCCCTGGTAATGTTCTGTTTTTCAGGTTATCCTTTTGTATATACCGTATACGAACAGGGTAGTCATGATGCAACTGTAAAAATCTGAGCACCTTATAATACAAATTCCTTTTATTGTAAACAATTACACACCTAATGAAAGGCATTGAGAAAGAAAAAAGAAAAAGAAAAACACAAATACAATCTGCACTTATACGATTTCAATAAGTAAATTTACACAAGGTATCATGTGTATGTGTGTGTGTTTGTGTGCGTGTAAGGTTTCAAAATGAAATGTGTTAAATACAAAAAAGAATGACTAACAAGAAAAGAACTTTTGATGTCTAGATGTAAGACTGAGTTGATAGTTTAAATCCTGAAATGAGTGCCGACAGTGCCAATGAGAAGAAGGCAAAGAAAGCCATGCTAATACCCGCTGCTGAGGAATCAGTGAATATGTTGTCTGCATTTTCTCTGAACCTATTTGTCAAGGGAACTGCTGAAGATGCTGCTGATATCAACAGGTATGCTATAATCTGCAGCTCAATAACCCAAATTTCCTTACTTAGTAAGATTCTCTTACAGTAAAGGAGAATTTATTTCATAATTTCAGACAGATTATTTAATTGGCCTAACTCAAAAGCTTCATCTTCTCTAATGTAATAACCTATTCTTTTCAACTAATCATTTCTTAGCTACATGTTTTGATACTTCTCTCCTATGGATTCCAATCTCCATTTTAGAATGTTGTATTATAACTTAATATATATATATGTATCTCACCTCAGTAACAAAATGTATAAATTTCTATCATAAATGTTTATTCTTTTCAGAAAACAGAGTTGGCAAGAAGGCTACTTGAGAGAAGTGGCAAGCAAAATTGCGTGGAACAGCTGTATGGGAGGTTGCCTTGGGGCCATAAAAGACCCACATAGCTTATATTATTATTTCTTTTCCCTAGCCCAAGTTTTTTAACTTGTAAATGCATCATCTAATCTTCAACAAATTAACATCTAAACTCGCTCATGGCCACATCTTCCTCGTGCAAATAATCATTATCTTCCTGTTATATTTTCCCTCTATACTCGAAAGTCAACCAAGCACACAAAGTAGAGGTATTAATCAAGATCCGTGTCGTTGTTCTGACACTGACAAACACCCATGAAAGACTAGACAAGTCTAGAGGATTAAAACAAAGCAAGTTACAGAAACGAAGGAATAAATGTCAGAGCTGACTAACATTTTAACAAACTAATTGACTTTAATTTGCATTAATTGATTCTTAAGAAAAACAAAAAAAGGATGAACCAACCTGATCTCCGAAGAAGTCGACGAGAGAAGAGTTTCGTCGATCAAGCATTTGTTTGCCGGTCGAGATTTCGTGGACGTGCCGCAATGCCTGCCCTCCTGAGTACAGCGTTGACAGAATCGCTATTGCCAACAAATACCTGACAAAGAATCATTACAAAATGAAATCAAATCACAATAAGGAAAACTCCAGAAACACGAAAAACAGTCGGATTCGAAAATTATATGTACCTGTACTCTTCGTACTGGTCAAAATTGAGGCCAGGACCGTGCTTATTGCTAGCGGTGATGATCAAAGCGAGCAGAGAGAACAATAGAGCCAATCCTCTCAAGCCGAGAGAGCCTCTCTTCAATAGATCCTCTCTCTTCCATCTCCTCGTGATAGCCGACACGCCGAACCCCGCCGTCCAGCTCCCTCTCTGACTTTCCACGTCGGCAGCCTCCGCTGAGGGCTCCGGTTGCTTCTGCTCCTCGGGATTCGACATATTTGAAATCGAAAAGCAATTCAATCCAACAACAAAGGAAAAGATTGAAGACGATGGGAACGAGAATTTGAGTTTGGAGAAAGAATAAGAAATGGATGTACGTGTGTGTGTGTGCGTGTGTGTGTGTGTGTGTATATATATATACTGGTAATATAATATTGTGTGAACACGACAATTCAGGGTTTTGTGTTGGGAGGAATTGAAAGGCCCGCGCCTGGTTCGGGAAGTTTAGCATGCCCTCTGGAATCCTGACTTTCGACAAAATCGTGAAAGGGATGAGTTCGGAGATGACGTGGCGTCCAAGTTTATACTCGATTCGCCCATTGAATTTTACGCTACGCCAAACAATGCTCCTCGACTTTTTTTTTTTTTTTTTTTTTGTTGTTTTTGTTATTTTTTCCAATTTTTATTTCGTTTCTAATTTTATTTTTCTTCTAAATGAAAAATTAAAACAAAAAATATAATTTCCTTTCCAGAAAAAATATTAATAGATTTCTATCAATTTTAAATTTTTTTTATAAAAAAACTCTACATATATTATAAAAAATAATTTTCGTAATTTTGTTGTTCTTGAAATTTTATGCATGGGGCATGCCGTTGCATACATGAACTCCAAACTTTAATCACAGAAAATTTAGTTTAAAACTTTCTTTTTCCCTTTTCCACTCTGACCCGGCAAATACTTAAAAACTGAATTAATTTTTGTTTTTTTTTTTTTAAATATATATTTATTTATTTTTTGAATCAAATTTCTCTATTTCGTAATACAATTAAATGAATAATTTTAAATAAATTTTACAAAATATAATTTATCCTAAAATGACATTATACACGTAATGATTATAGTAGTTATAGTTTTTTTTTTGTTTTTTATTTCTTAACAAAATATGAATTGAACCAATCAAACTTGTAGAATTTGTTAGCTCATTTGTTGTGGTAAAGTAGTTTATAATTTCTCTAATCTTATGGGATTGGGCCTAAAGGGCTTCATTTTGTTTGTTATAGATGGGCCTTCAATTCATTTTTTAACAGTTTATATACATATATATATATGTGTGTGTGCAAGAGTGAGGAAGTGGCTCAACTTGGGATGACCGAAGAGAAATTGTCTGATGGATCCAAACCAACCAGCTCCGGTCCATTTTAGATTTTTTAAGGAAAGGCTCGATTTGAGTTAATATAAAATGTGTTTTTATATATATATATATATATATATAAATTTAATTCATTTGAAGTGGAATTGATAAACCCATTTAAGATTTAAGTTGAATTTGAATATTTGCAAAAATATAAATATATATAACAGAACAAATTTTGAAAATTCTAAACCCAAAACCCACACTTTAATTAACAAAAATAAAAAAATGGTATCAGATCAAAATTTAAATGGATGGAACGAAGTAAAATATCATCCCGATATAATATTATTAAATTAATACAATGGAGGTTGGGGGGGGGGAGGAAGGTCTTATCTCTGGAAATGGCTGGTTTTGTCACATGTATCACCATAGAGGGAGGAATGTTAGATAGCTGTACCATTACTCCCTCCACGTGACACATGTATGTATGCATGCATGTATGTATGTATGTATGTATGTATGTATATGCTTCCAAATATTGGATCTATAAGCCTCTCTGGCTTTTCTCAAGAACCTTTCGATCGCATTAATTGCACCCAAAACTAAAATATCTTCCTCTCTCCCTAATTAATTACCTTACTCTTTCCACTCCTTAGTTTAATTAACTAATCATAATTATGTGATGATTAAAATGCATATTTATTTAAACACCACCTTTATAAGTAACAATTCTTTTAGGCCATAAATGAAATTGAAATAAATCATCGCATGATCGGATCAGGCGTTATGTATTAATTGTCGTTTCATTAATTTTATTAATATATTAACTTTGAACCATAACTCCTACACATAAACCAAAGTATAAATCCAAGTTTTTAATTTCAAAGACTTTCCGCCTTGTAGCCTAGAAATGCTTGCAAAACAAAATTAAAGATTGGTTGAACCTCTTTTACAGAGGACAAAGTCGGCTTTACAGTTTCAGCCCAACTACAATAAGTGAAACATCTTAGAAGTTTATAGAGTTTCAATCTCAATTTATAACAAATAAATCCCGAATAGTTCTCGATTTATGTGTAGTTGACTTATCGATGGATTAACATTATGTTTGAATAAATTTTAGTCAAAAAATAATTACAAAAAATAAATAAATAAAATAGTAGTTTTTGATATAAAAATCGAAGTAAATTAATTTTTTTTTTAAATATTATTTCTCGAATTTCTAGTAATATATATGTCAAACTATATGTGATATTACCGTTCTATATTAAAAAGATACGTCATTATTTAATTCTACATAGAACCTCAACTTATATGTTACCAATAATTTAAGTTTAAATTTTTAATTATTAATGTTTTGGATATGAAAAATGATTGAACTAATAGTGTTTGGACATGAAAAATTACATATGGTATCAGAACATATGTCAATTCGATAGTTTTTAATGTTATAATTTTGAATTTTATGAATTTTTTATGAGAATATTAAAGATTTAAGCGATATAATTTGTTTATTAAAGATTTAATACTTCCCTAATACCTCATTTATAGAGGACAAAATAGATTTTAGCTATCACACCAACTATAATTAGTGAAACGTTTTAGAACCTTATGGAGAAGAAACTCATTTAATAATGGAAATTGGAGCTTCAATATCAATTTAGTGCACAAATAAATCCTAAATAATTCTAGTTTTTATGTATTGTTGTCTATAAATGATTTACCAATGTATTAACGTTATGTTTGGGCAAATTTAGTAAAAAAAAATAATTACAAGTAAAATAAAAGAAAGAAAATCTACTTTCTCTTCATATTATTTCTTCAATTTTCAGCAATATTACACGTCAAATTATATGTGATACCACACTTTTATATTATAAAGGTACGTGATTACTTAACTTTACATAAAATTTCAAATCATATATTATTAATAACTTGAGTTTAAACCTTTGATAATTAATTATTTAGATCTAAAAATTATTAAATTAGTAGTATTTGAGTTTGAAAAACCACAAACAATACCAAAACACGTGTTATTTTAATGATTCTCACTGTTACAATCTTGAACCTTATAAATTTTTTAATTGTGATTTATGATTATATGATATATGACTTTGATAAAAATATTAAAAAATTGAGTGATGAATATTATGTTATCATAGTTTCACATCGAAAATACATGTAATTTTTAAATTTTATATAAAAATTTAAGTTATATATTATAAATAATTTTAGCATAAGTTTTTAAAAAATATTAATACTTGAGTACAAAATGTTACATTATGAGAATTAAAAATTTAGTTGGTGAGCTATTTGTTTGTATCCCTAATAACTTATTCATGTAAGTTATAATCTATACATTTTATTCATTTTTCAAGAAATTTGTGGTTGGACATGCAAATTATTGCAAGTTCAATTCCATTAAGAAATTAGCTAAATAAAGTTTTATTTTCTATAATAATGATTAGGAGGATACCCTTCATAATATAATGGTTTAAGATTAATTGTATTTTAATTAAATTGTTACAAGTTCCATTCTAGGAGGAAATTAGCTAAATAAAGATTTATTTCCATAATCATGATTAGGATACATTTTCATAATATCTTGGTTTGTCTTAATATTAATTTATTTTTTATTATCAAGCTTGATTAAATACAAAATTACCCAAGTAAATATCCTAATATAAACTATTTTTTTTTGTAAAAAATAATTTATAATAAACTAATAAAGACATAAAAATGTGAGAGCATATGGATAAGGGTAGAGGTAGATGTGGCAAAGAGCCATCCGGTGGGGACACCCTTACAGCTAATATAATCTGTCACCAACTTTCTTATTATTATATTATATTTATATGATGATTTATTATATGCGTATGTTATGTGGAGTTCCATTAAAGCTTAACTTAAACCACGACCACAGACTAAATGCAAAATATTATTTTATTTCTTCTCCTGTAGATGATCATGCCATGGGACTTCTTCAGAGATTACCATACATAACTATATATATATACATATACATATATATATCTGTATATCCGCGGGTGGCCCTACTTGATCAACATTTGGCTCCTTTTGTTTCTCCCATCAGCTTCTTGATTACCCCATATATACATATATATATATAGACATGCTTTAATATTTATTTTATATTAAATAATTGCACCACCAATTTCTCTACTATATAATTTGATTTGGACGCAATCAGATTTTAAGGTAATTTAACTATTGTGATATAAATATAATATATTTATTGAGATTTAATCTAATTTAATTATTTAATTTTATTAATATATTAGTAAATTAAATTATTAATTTTATTGTATTAAATATTATAAATAAATTATTATTAATTTATAATATACTTATAAAATAATATTTTCAATAATTTTTTAATTTATAATATTTAAATAATATAAATATTCTTAGTAAGAATAGTTTAATATTTACACGAATACAATTACTCATCAAACGGTGATGATGAAAACGTGTATATTGAACAGTATGTGGAAACGGCACAGGGGATCAGACCCGAAAAGCGCAGTCACATATTTGAGTGTTGTTGGGGCTGTGCGTAAAAAGCAACGGTCAATAAGGCCGTTGAATGCGCCCAATTTAGTTAGTTCGTGTGGACCCCACTTTATTCACTTATTTATTAGTTTTTTTTCTCCTCTAATTTTCAACTTTTTAATTTTTTATTTCACGCTGCCGTGTCAGTCATTCTATGCCCTCACTGTCCCCACGATTCCACGTGGCAGATTAAGCAATAATATTTTCCTGAGTGAAAATTTTTCATTAAAGAATTTAAAAGTAAACCGCCAAACCGAAACAAACACCACAAAATTACCGAAATGCCATTGCCAGGCTAAATTCTGAATCTCATCTCATATCAATGGAGAGAGAGAGTTAAAAGTAACGGCCATCGTGCCCGCAGAAACAAAAAAGTGTGACTGTCAAGTGCCAGGTCTCACCGGCTTTTCAGGTAATTCCGCTATGCCACGTCACCTTACATTTTTCCTTTTTTAAGAGGTTATTCCGTTTGGCTTAAAATTTTTGAAATAAAAATAAAAATTCTCCATCCCCAAACAAATATTTACTAATAATAGTTTACTAAAATTAAGATGCAAAGAAAAGTAAAAATTACATTCAATAAAAACTATATACCTCAATTGTCTTACCACATTGAAATCCCTTTTGGAAACCAACCAAAGTGCTAATCTTTTTAGCCATTGGCATGTATGGAACATACATTACCACAAGTGCAATCCACAAATTCATTAGCCTCAAGTTTGATCGAATACTAATTGAAGCACCAAAACCCGAGTAACATATGAGAAAAATTATTGTCCATGTCGTAATATTATATGAGAAGTAACATCGATGATATTAATTAAGTTATATAAAATAATATTTTAAATATGTTTTATATCATTTAAAATAATATAATCTAAATATTATGAATATTTATTATTTGCTAATATGCTATAATAGTAACATTAAAATACTATTTATATCATAAAAAATAAAATATATTTCTTAATTTTGTAAGTAAGCTTTGAATAAATAATATATCAAGTTTTTCAAATATTCTATCAAATATGTCATTGTGGTGTGCATTAAGATATTCATATCAAAAGGTTGTAGCCTAAATAACATTATTTTTATTAAAATTATGACTAGCAAATTTCATAACCATATCTTCACAAAAATATCATATAAATTAAACCTTAAAATTCACTTGAAATTTAGATTTATAAAAAGTTATTTTTTATTTTTGTTGATTTATTTTATACTTTTTTTATTAAATTTAATTTTTTTTAATAATTTCATACTTGACATGTAGAAATATGAAATACATTACTATAAAATTAAAAATATAAATAAAATTTATTTAATTTTATATTAAATATATAAATCATAAATAACTTTACGTAAGCATCGAAAAAAAATTAAATTAATTTAAATAACCGATAACTTATCTATCTTAACAACGCCACATAACTAAAATAATGGTATCTAACCTATAATATATAATTATTATTTTTTTCAACCGATCCATGAAATAAGATAAGATTAAAACTTTTTCAGAACACTATATTTTCTAAGCTGCTTGTGAATAAATTAAGGACCATATATAATTATTTGATTATGACATATGCAAATAAAATATAATGAAAAATGTAGTTGATAAATTTGTAATTATTTGATTATGACATAAGCAATAATGCGAATAAATAAGCAACCCAAACTATTTGTATATATTTATATAATTCGAAATATATAAATAATGGAAGTTGTGAGAATGTTATTTGCCTGTTTGATATATAATAATAACAAATTTCATATTGATGTAACAACTAGGATCAGTCATTGATTTAGTATCTAAATTATTTGACAAGTTATAATTATACTATAAAATTCTTTGTTACAATTTTGCTGTTAAAGTTATAAAAATATTTTAACATATGATATTATATATATTATATAATTTACCAAAAATAATTGTAATTATTGATATTTAGATTGATTAAACAGTTAATCAATAGAGTGAGGATAATTTATACAGATAATTTATTTTTTAAATCCAAACGCTATATAGTTAAATATTATCTACTTAAAGTTTAAAATATAAAAATATATATAATGGTTATCTCTTAAAGTTTTATAAAATATAAAAGAATAATATAATTTATAATTGACTACGGATGATATATTTTATAATTTTATTGATATAAAATAATTATTTATTTAAAATTTTTAAATATAAAACTAGAATTTAGTTTTAGTTAGATATGCTTTATAATTAAAATCCAATTAAAATTGAAGTAATTATCTAAAAATCTTATAAAATTTTGACTCTTCAATATGATCAAAATAAGTATAAATATACCAATTAAAGAATATAAATTTGTTTCTATAAAAATGATTTTTTTTTTAGTAATATAATACTAATTCCGTAGTTGTTTATATATTCTATTAAGTAATCACTATAATACGTGTATCACCCCAACTTTGACTTTCTTTTTTTTTCTTGAAAGATATATATTTGCAAAATAAAATTTATTTCCCAACAGATTCTCGTGACCTGTCGCAACTGTGCAAGAGCTCTGGCCGTGTTACCGTGTGGGGTGGGGCCGGATGACCTGCTAAACCGGTGACCACGCCGCGTTAGTCTTTACCTCCTGTCTCCTTCCCCATCCCGTGTTTATCTAATCTTCTCTTTTTGGGGCAAAACCCGAGACTCCCCGTTCCATACTTCTTCCCCTGCTTCTCCTGTAAAATCTATGGCTTCTCTCTCTCGCTTCCCCAACCCTTAACTGGAGAAACTCTCGCCTACAAAACCCATATTCTTTCGCCATGCGCTCTTCCTATTTTGCCCCTTCTTTCTTCCTCTATTTACCTATCTGTAACACTCCTTCACTTCCCGGAAACCTCGTCGGAGCTAACCACACTTCTGCTCGTTTCTGTTTCCGCTAGTCTTCCATACGTTATTTGTTTTCACTCTTCTTTTACCAATCAAACAAACACACAGATTGATAGTGGGCTATTGATTTCTTTTTCTTGTTATTTTTCAAGGTGTGTATAAACACAACCATGGAGCCCTCGGGAGGGAAGCCAAACTTCTTGAGGAACATTATGGTACGGGCTCTTATGTTTGGGGTTTTTGTCATAGTCGTTCGATTCGCTTACATTGTCACCATCTCCGGGGAGGCATGCAATCTCGGCGATTTCTGCTTCTTCTCTCTCCCTGAAAATCTTAATTTTGTAATCGCCGGGGCCGGACCTGGTGCTTCCGCGATTGCCGGTAACGAAGTTGTCAGATCCAGTTCTAGGGGTCCTGCGCCCGATCTTTACACCAGCAAGGACTGGATCAGGGCAACCCAATTCTATTCTTCCGTCTTCCAAGATCTAATTGCCGAGGGCTACCTCTCTACGGACTCAAAGTCGCTATGCGTCGAGACGGTAACTGGACAAGATGTCTTCGCCTTGAGGGAAATAGGCGTGAAGGACTCAATCGGGATTTGGAAGAAAGCTTCGCGCCCGTTGGTGATTAAAGGTGAAGCGCATGCGATACCGTTCGATGACAGTACTTTTGACTTTATCTTCTCCGGAGGAGGCCGCCTCGACAAGTCTCCACGGCCGTTGGATTTCGCGGCGGAGATTTCAAGGACGCTGAAACCCGAAGGGTTTGCGGTGGTTCACGTGGCGGCAAAAGATACGTACAGTTTCAATTCATTCCTTAATTTGTTTAATTCTTGTCAGTTAGTGAAAACGCGTGATATAGATGGTTTAGATTCTTCAATGTCTTCCATTAGAGAAATTATCATGAGAAAAGACAGTGAATTTGATGGTCATCGGGAAAGAGAACCCGGTGGCGACTCTGAAAATAAGTGTTCGGTTCCGGGGTATAAGCTGGATTTAGTCCGGAACGCAGAGCCTTTGATTGCAGAGGAGCCATTGAAACCGTGGATTACTCTGAAGAAGAATATAGAGAACATAAAGTACTTACCATCAATTGCTGATATAAGCTTTAAACGTAGATATGTGTATGTTGATGTTGGTGCTCGGAGTTATGGGTCCAGTATTGGGAGTTGGTTCAGGAAACAGTACCCAAAACAGAACAAAACTTTTGATATATATGCCATAGAAGCTGATAGGATTTTCCACGACGAGTATAAAACTAAGAAAAGGGTTGAGCTATTGCCCTATGCGGCATGGGTGAGGAATGAGACGTTGTCATTTGAGATTAATCATGACCCAGGAAAAGAAGTGAAGGATAAAGGGAGAGGAATGGGGAGAATTCAGCCAGCAAAATCCTACTCCGATGGTGGTTTTGACGGGGAGGTGGATCAGATTCAGGGGTTTGATTTTGCAGAGTGGCTGAAGAATACTGTAACAGAGAGGGATTTTGTGGTTATGAAGATGGATGTAGAAGGAACTGAATTTGATTTGATACCGAGGTTAGTTGAGACAGGAGCAATTTGTTTGATAGATGAGATATTTCTTGAATGCCATTACAATAGGTGGCAGAGATGTTGCCCTGGTCAGAGGAGTAGCAAGTATGAGAAAACCTATGGCCAATGCCTGGACCTGTTTACTTCTCTCAGACAAAGCGGAGTTCTTGTTCATCAATGGTGGTAACTTTTGCTGCTGATACAGATTCTACCATCTTTTTTTACGTTACCTTTTTGATTCAAGTTACGTTAAGCCCATAGCTTTTATTTTTGTTAAATTCTTCTTCCTACATCAACAGTAAAAATGTAGTTATCATAAAAAAAAAAAAAAGGGTGAAATGTAGGATTCTTTGCATATTGCTTATGTTATTTTAAGATCAACAACTTCAAACAAAAAGTTTCGTTACCTGGGTGAGCCTTTTGACTTTCTTCCTCACTTTTGATATGGAGATATATGTATATAATGATTTGATCCCCGAGAGGCGCTGGTGATGAAATTTTGGTATTTGATGGGTGATGTTGAATTGCAGAAAAGTGGGGTTTATTTAATGATTGCCCATGTTTTCAGACGCAATTCTTCTGGAAATGTGTCTTTTTTTTTTTTTTTTTTCTGTCAATTATGATGCATACATGGAATTTTACGGTGATGTCTGATGCTGAAGTGTGGAGTGTGTGAAGGTAAGAATGATTTGTAAAGTCGCATGAATATGGAAGGTATTTAAAATGTTTAGTTTATTTAGTTATTCATTAGTAAGACCCAGAAAGTGCTTGAAATGATGGTGTCGAGATTTCTATCTACTTTTTTAATCACTCATGGACAAAAAGGAAAGCTGTGTAATTTGACTAACACAGATGATTTATGGGTTGTGCACAACTCAGATTGGGTTAAGTTTTCAAACTCACATGTTGATGATTTATGGGTTTTAGCCCATGACTAAAGTCAATTGACTATGATCATTTGTTCTTAAATAATTTTTTTTTTTTAAAAAAAAAACTAATTTCAAAGGGTTTTATGAGATAAATCATAAGGGAGATACTGTTTATATGATAAATTTATCTTACATAATCATTGGACATTAATTTGGTAACATATTTTTATTTTTATCTCATTAAAAATTACATTTCATTAATATTATTGATGAATTTTAATGTTTTATCAAATTATTTTAAAAAAGTAAAAAAAAAAGATCAATTTTCTCTCTTATAAAGCTTGTTGACTGCTTCTGATTGAAAAATGTCAGTCGATGCAAAAATGAGAGCTATCCATGACCACGTAAAATCATGCAAATAGATTACACACGAGATTGAGTGGAATCCAGCACTATTGACACGTAAAATCATGTAAATAATCTAAAAAATTCACCTTTGTGGAAAGACAAAATGATCCTCAGAATCTACGCCCTTGGAAGAAGAGATAGTCACCAATTTGAACTAGACGATGGACTCCTACTTTGCTATACCACCATCATTAGATGAAGAAGAAGAAGAGGATGATTCTTTCTACACTCTCATCAAGTTATATGTGATTGAAAAATTGACGTTTTGAAAACCATGAAGAAGGGGTCTCCTTGTCAAATTGATGGAAAGGAAAATAAATTATTGATTTCTAGAACAAAGGGTGAAGAAAATGCTAGAGATATGGGGAGGGCTATAGTTGATAGACCTTGAGAATGACTTTTATCTAGTCAAGCTTACGAAGGAGAATGACTAGGACTACGCATTCACCGACAACCATTGGATCATATCCAATCACTACCTGATAGTTTGGTAATGGAGCCCTAATTTTATTAGAAATTATTACACAATCGATAAATTTGTAGTGTGATTGAGATGTCTAGAATTGAACATAAAGTATTTTAACGCTAAGTGTTGGTAGATAAAATCTTGGTGTGCACTTCAAGAGTACTATAAATGGGACCATAATCTCTTTGATTTACAGAGGAAGATCCCCCATGAAAATATATGAAATTGGAAATCATGAAGTCGCTCATACCAAAGCTTCACATACAAAAGCATACTTATTGTATGAAGTCTAAAGGCCTTCACTTAATCTATTTTCAATGTGGATGTTATGGTCATAACATTGAAAAGTGTAATTTCTTTACCACTAAATACCCATATTCTCCCAGTTATGTTGTAGGTAAAGACACTCGGAGATAACAAGTGATAGTTGAGAAACAATTGAAGGAGGATGTCTGGTTCGACCATCGATATTAATACAATAAAAAAAACCAATGCAAAAGAAGAAACAATGATCACATAAGCAGGTAGACAGTCACACATATTAAAATATTAAAAATTAGGGAATGTTAACCGAGATTTTAGTGAGAGCTATCAGGGACATTGATAACGAGGGCAAGAATCAGGGAACAACAACCATACAAACTGAGTTGCATTATTGACTAGTTGGCCAAGAATCAAGGAACAATGAGGCTAAGGACATGTAACCGATATTGCAACCCTAGCTAACCAGCAAGGAGGAGTGAGTCACCACTAGATGAAAACCCACGATTTTTATTCACAAGTTGAGGCCTATAGCTTTATTAACTGAGTTTCAAGGAACCCCGGTTTACATAATGTAAAGGCTTTATCAAAAGTTCTACTTGATAAAGCCTTCACTAATATACAAGGTCATACTTATGTTTAGAATGGTGGTGTCTTTAACTTGGTTAGATGTTACTTAGATCATTATCCTAGTAAAACTTCCCTATCAGGGGGGAGGGAGGGTGATCAACAGTCAAAATTGAGAAGTTAATCACTTGTTTCATGAACAATGCAAAAATCTACAATAGGGATACTTTGGTCATATCACTATAACCAAAATTTAGTTACAAAAATGAATATAAGGGATTTAGAGAGCTATGTAAACTAAAAACTCTCATTTCCTTGAAGACCTTAAAACAAAGATTTAAACTCAGCTGAATAACATTTTTAGTTGGGAGGAAATTTTTTGGTTTCAAAAAACATGCAATAATTAAATCAGTATGAGCGACATGAACATCAACTATTATCACAATAACTATATGATGCACAAAAGGCAATGTCATATTACTAAGATTATTATACATGATGGCCTTATGGTGGAGGAACCTAGGGAGATCAAATGGCTTATCAAAGAATTCTATGGTAGTCTCCATACTGAGGAGAATCCTTTTAGACCTTTTTTAATTGGAGACTTAGATGATCTTCTTCTTATAGCATGTGAAACTAATAGTCTCGACTATTCTATCAAAGATGAGGAAGTCAAAAATGCTATCCAATCCTAAGCCCTCTTAAAGTCCTTAGCCTGGATAGAATGCATGCATGTTTCTTCCTGAAAAATTGAGACATTGTAGGTATCAGTGTTAAGAGTTTTATGGAAGAGATCTTTGATGGTACCGTTGATAAGTATAATGCGTTAGTTAATGACACAATCATCTCTCTCATTCTTAAGAAGGATCACGCGGATGTGTTAACAGACTTCATATCCATTAGCTTGTACAATGTTATTTGTAAACTAGGAAAATTGCTTGCAAATCGATTAAAAATTGTGATTAGGAATCTGTTCCACTTTAACCAGGCCAACTTTTTCCTTTGTCACCAAATTGTGGATAATATCATTATTGCCCAGTAATCCATTAATTACATATGGGAAAGAAAGAAAGAAAAAAAATGGTATTTGACGATAAAAGTTGACCTTAAAAAATGCATATGACCATTTTACCTGAGACTTTATCAAGGATACACTTGAAAAGGCTAGGTTTCCCCCTAAATGGACTCTATACATTATGAGATGTATTAAGACCTTGTCAATGCAAGTGTCAATTAATGGTCAAATTATGGGTTGGTTCTTTCCCTCGTGGGCATTTGCTAAGGGGATCCCATCTCTTCCTACATTTTTGTCTTTTGGATGGAAAGACTAATTCATCTCATCTAAAAGAAGGTGGTAGAGTAAAATTGTAAACTCTTAAGATGGGTCGGAAAAGGCTCACGCTTTCTTAATTTTTTTTGCTAACAACTTAATTTCATTTATGAAACCAACCAAGAATCAAATAGTTAATATAAAAAGATGTTTTGACCAATTAGGTGCTACCTCAAGTCAAAAAATTATATAAATGAAATCTAAATTTTTTTTTCCTGAGAAATGTCCCTAAAAGTCATGTTAATCACTTAAACAAGCTTAGTACTACTCTTTTTAGTGATGGTACGCTTATAATTAAATCAACATACCACTTCTTCAATATTGTGGGATACCTGCATTATGTGATCGTCTTAAAGATTTTTTGGTCACTTCATGTGCCTAAAAATGAGAAAAATATATGTGGCTTTTGACCTCAAACTATCTCTTTACTAATAAAGAAAAAAAACATTGTCATATCACTAATTATGACAGTTGCACAAGATGATATGATAGTAGCGAGACCATCCTTCATACAATCAAAAATTTTCCTATTTCAAAACAAGTATGGAGTGAGTTGATTAATAATAATTATCTTGGTGTCCTTTTTTCTCCTTCTTTTTGATAGGTGGATTAGATATATCTTTTTTAAAATGATGTTATCACCTACGATATTGCAAGTTAGTAAGTGATTTTTCCAACCATGGTGTGGATTCTATGGAAGGATCATATCAAGTTTATTCACCATGAACCCGAGTTGTTATAGTATTGACTAACAAGATGACCATTCACATAGCATTAGAGTTTTATGTGGCCTTCACTAGGCCTACCCCGCATATTAAGGAGGGGAACCATACTAGAGACGCTATAGCGGCAAGAAGACCCCACCACTAGATTGGTATAAACTAAATATTGATGGTTTTGCGTGGAGCTACTCGCTTGAGCTTATGCAAGGAGCATTATCCATGATAGTTAGGGGAGATGATCTAGGTTTATATGCAATATTGACACTAATGTTGACGCCTCTTTATCTGTAGGGCTGCTGTAAAAGGTCTTAAAATAGTTAAAGACATTAAGGGGAGGAAGTTGTTTGTAGAAGTTAAGTCATCCATGTCAAGATGATTCTTCACTATAGGTTTATGCATTGCCAGCTGACTCACAAGTCAAGAGCCA